GGGTGGGGGAGGGGGGAGGGAGGGAGCGGAGGAATGGAGGGAGAGAGGAGAACGTGAAAGAGAAACCCTCTTTGACTTTTTTCTTAAATTTAATTTTTGTCTTTTTTTTTAATCTTTTCTTATTTTAATTATTTCTTGGTTTAAATTTTTGCCTTCACGCTCCTTCTACGCGTGAAATACATATATTTTGTCCAACTCAACTGTCAAGTTGCCACATAGACATGGTCAACGGTCAGAGGGGTTTAAAATATTACTTTTGAACAATTATAAGTGTTTGGATGAAACTTTGTGAAGTAGAAGGACCGAGATGTCAAAACCGAACATTTACAAGTGTCTATGAGGCTATTTTGCATACTAAAATACAAAAAAAAATAAAAAAATAATATATCTAGTGTATTCCTATAAGTGGAGTATGAGGAGAGGTATGTACGCAGACCTTACCCCTAGCTTATGAAGATAGAGAGACTGTTTCCGAAAGACCCTCAATTCAACAACAATAACAAACTCAATTTAATCCCATAAGTGAAATCTGAGAAGGATAATGTATATGCAGACCGTACTACCTAGTGAAAGTAGACCCTTGGCTCAATAAAAGTAAAATCATAGCAGCAGTTATGACAAACAGAAAAGAATTAATATAACCGAAGCAAATGAAACATCATATAATAATAGCGATCTAAAAATAGGGAACACCACGATACCACTTGTTATACATCTATGAAAAATATGCATTTTCCTAATAATATCAACATACAAATGTAATACTACCCATGTTCCAATTTATGTGAACCTGTTTGATTGGGCACAAAATTTAAGAAAAAATAAAGACTTTTGAAACTTGTGGTCTTAAACAATTCAAAAAGGGACCAGAGTATTTGTATAGTTATAAAAGCTTCTCATTAATGGTAAAATTATAAGTTTAAATAAAATTATTTTTAAATTTAGAAATGAGTCATTTTTTTTAGAACAAAGCAAAAATGAAATAGATTCACATAAATTATGGAACGAAGTTATACCTTTATTGCCACAAAGTTGTAGTGCCAATAGAAAATACGTTTGGCACTTCAAAGTGCACTACAGAAAGATAAAAGAATTTAGGAAGGAGAAAAAAAAGGAAATGTAATGTCAGATGATAACGAAGTCAGATGTTGTGAACCTATATTAAAGTGATGACATATCAATTTGCTGACATTAAACGTTTTTCTAATTGAACTAGAAAGTGAAAGAAATATCTAATAAAAACTTCAATCACTTCAACATTTAATTTTGATGTTGACAGTGGCACATTCACTATACATATAATTATGGACCAAATTAAATTATATCAAAATAGAATAACATCAATAAGAAATCTAGTGACCTAGTCATAAAAACAATGTGTACACAATTTTGTCCGTAAAGTATACATTTTCCTAATAATATCTTATTTTTATGGAAATGATTGATCCCATTTATTTGGAAATAATTAAACATGTACTGGAGGGGTCAATGGGCAATAAATAAGACCCATGGCCTAGGTGACTTCGATAGTTCGATTGTATTTTGGAGTGGTGCCGGCCTAAGATAATAAATAAATAAATTAAACATATACTATCACTCTATTTTCCTCTCTTAGATTTAAAATAAACAAATAAGTGTGTGCTTGATAATGACAAAGATCACATCTTTCTGGAAGGGTAAAAATGAACTGAGCAAGATAATGATTGAAAAATTGATGTTATTTAAATAATAATTGCTATTATTGATTTTTGTTAAAAAATTGTGACTGTTTATATTCTCCTACTTCCACTGAAAACCAGAGAGGTGTGTGTGCTCCTCTTTGCACTGAGGGAGAACCAGAAAAAAGTGGAGAGAAAACTTGTGCTTTGCCTTTTTTCTTCATCCAATCTCTCTCTCTCTCTCTCTCTCTCTCTCTCTCTCTCTAGATAACTCTATATATTTACATACATCCGTTAAACCCCAAGAGCTCCACTACCTAACAATCCCCATTTTCTTGAAAACTCCCAGTTCAAATTCATCCAAGATCCAGCCAAAACAGTGTCTGTGTGTTTTTGGGTTTGTACTGAAGGATAAAAAAAAGGAAGGGGATTTAGGGAAAACTCCATAAAGATTTATTTTTTATTTTTATTTTTTTTGTGTGAGAGAGATTTAGGAGAACCCCATAAAAATTCAATCTTTTTCTCTTTCTGGGTGTGTGTAGAAATGGCTGAAGTGAAAGGAAACAAGAAGAGGCTGTCAATAAATCTTTCCCTTTTTACCCTCACTGATCACAACGGCAGCAATAAATCTCCTAAGAAATTTGAGGACCCAAATGGTGCTGTTGTTGGGCTTGGAATTGTGGCAGCTTTGACTAATAACAGTAATAATAGTAGAGCTGCAATTCTTGCAATATCTCCAAGATCAACTAGTTCAAACCCAATCCCAATTTTCACTGCTAATAATAGTAATAATAATAAAACTAAGAAGAAGAAGAAGAGTAAGAGGCCAAGTATTGAAGAAATGGAGATGTGTGAGGAGTACACGTGTGTGATTTCTCATGTGGGTACCAATTTGATTAAGAAAAGAGAGTATTTTGATGGTGAATTCATAGGAAACACCAACTCCCAAAAAGCTGCTACTGCTACTGTCAATCATGGTGATACAATGAAATTTAGGACAGCTGATTTCTTGAATTCTTGCTTTCTTTGCAAGAAGCAGCTTCAGGGTTTGGATATTTTCATGTACAGGTTAGAATTTCAATTTTGCAGTTTCTGCTTTTTTCTTTTCTGGGGTTTTGGTTATTGTAGTTATTAATATGTTAATGATTATATTACTGGTCTCTTTGGTAACACTTTCTTGGATCTGAGATATAAAGGCATGATTAAATTCTTTGCTAAATTTCCATTTTATGCTTCATATCTGTGTACTTCTGTTGTTACTTATTGAGAATATACTGTCACTTGCAGCTGTAAGTTTGATAAGAGGAACTAATTAAGAGTCTTTATGGTCAATTTTCCTCTCAATGAGTTGATCTTAATCACCAAAAAACTAATTGTGTACATGACCTTTTATTGGTTGTTGGTGGTTGAGCAAAATGGTTGAGTGAACTGATCATTCCATACTCTGACTGGATTTTAAGGAGAAAACCGTTTCTTCTAATGTGGCCTCTCAGAACCTTTATGTTTGATGGCTTCATGAATATCTTATCTCATTTGCTTTTTTCTTTTGNGCTGTGGTTTTTTCCTCTTGAATCTGATCTGAAATTTGTGATTGTCCAAATTCGGTTTCAGCAAGGCTTTGTTGGTTGAAGAGGGTGTTATTTCTGTATGGATTTGTATAGTTTGGGAAGAAGATACTCTGGTATTAATGAGTTGATTGTTTAGGTGAGCGTTGTCTCTTCATTTTGGAGGGGTTAGCTTGGTCACGTGCATGACAGTTTCCAAGTAAAGATCTTAGGCATGAAAAGATTATCAAAGATTTGAGGACTCACCTTGGGAAATCGAAATCTATTAGATTGTGTGAAGCGTATCGTCTAAACTTTAAAATGTTAGGGAGAAGATACACCTATTCATTTATTTGTAGATCTGTAACGAAATATTTGTTTTGTTTATTTTAGGCCTGCAATAGACCCCTCTGTTGAGACCCGAACCTAGGATTTTTTGCCTGCTATGGTGTCAAAATAAATTCTGTATGTTCGTCTAAAAGCTCTAACTATTAAGAAAGGAGACCCTTTTATTTATTGTAGGTTTACAATGAAAGTTCCACTGACCTGTGCCTTTAAATCATAAGATTATCCAAAAGTTATTAGCATGCATTCTTGTAACTTTTGTCATGTCAAGCTTCCTGACCTGCTTTGTGTAAGATGAGTATTTTGTTTACTTAGGGGCACTGACTAGCTCTGATCAATTCCCTACGTTCTTGATATTCTCTGTTATAGGGATATTCAGAATTTGTATCTACTGTTTCCGATGACCAGTGCTTAAGATCTCAAGTGATATACCTACATTTGTACTTCTTGCAACTGTTTCTTTCTTGATCATTTGTAGTTCTTGCAGCTGTTAAGGTATTAGTACTTGCGAATTTTATAATTTTGGTCACAAATGCCATACCATAGTAAGCTGGACGCTAATCTAGCGTACTTCCCACCTTGCTTTCTGGTTTTTATTTGGAAGTTGTATTGTTAATCTTTATTAATTAGCATTATTCTTGGGCAGTTGGCATCTTCTTCCAACTTGTATAACTTAATGCTGTACATCATCTTTACATAATGGCAGGAAGAATCTTTCTCATATGTTTTGGATTAGGACATGTTTGCTTGAATTACGCACTCAAGTTATGTCTCTTTGAATGTCAGTCGCTTACAATCTACTCAACTTGATTAATAATGTCAGTAGTCATGTTATTTTACTCGCTGACATGAACTATTGCATTACTTAATTCCGTGGGAAAAAAGTTGATTCTAAGTTTGAGATATTGGAAGATTGCTTCTATAAATTTAAGCAAATTAGCTATTAAATTATAACCACCAGATGGTTTTTGCGGCAACATATTGATTAATGATTATGTTCACGTAAAGAAAGCTGCTGGGTATTTTAGTTACTTGTTGCTTTCTTTAATTTGTTTGCAATCAATTTTTATATTCGTCGTCGTGCTAGTTGTAAACTTTTGTTGCTGCAAAATTAAGTTGGCCTTGCTGGAAATCTTTTGGTTAGCTTTCTCTTTCGATACAATTTTCAAACTTAGGTAGGAAAACTCCACATGGTTTTCGTTTGTTCACTAAATTTAGGCATTTTCCTCCAGGTAATATGTGACAGGAATCTCTAATACATCTTGTTTGTATATGCATGTCATGTGGTCTGTATTATTTATGTAAAGAATAATTGAGGCTAATATATATANTCTGCCTTTCAAGCATAGAATAACAACTTCTTTACTTTTAATATTTGCAGAGGGGAGAAGGCATTTTGTAGTGCAGAGTGTCGTTGCACACAAATATCAATCGATGAACACAAAGAGAAATGTGGCATGAAATCGCTTAGCGACTACTCTGTTTCTCCTTGCTCGGGTGCAATGCAGTTTTTCACTGGCGTCGCCGTGGCATAACAACTCAAAATTGTATGGTACCTTCAACTTTACATAAATAAATAAAAGGGGCGATATATATATATATATATATATATATATATAGGTTTCGAAAGGTATACCGAATAAAAATTGGTACCCACCGGCTTAGAGATGTTAGATTTTTATGTTAAGGATATTCTGAGCATGCAATCTCTGCAACTCGAAGAGTAAGAAAAAACATTCCGGGAAAAGCATGTAATGAAGTTTGGTAGAAACTACTTGGAGCCCGTTTGGATTGGCTTAAAAAAAGTAGCTTTTAAGTTAAGTGCTTAAAAGCATTTTATAAGTGCTGTAACTTGTTTTATAAATAAACAGTTACGTGTTTGGATAAAAGTGTTGAAATTGAAAACAAATTGGTGAAGTGTTTGGAAAAAGTGTTGGTAAGCACTTTTTCTTGTTAAAATGATTGAAATATCCTTAAAGCTAGCATTATACAGAAGATGATGAATGATTTGATTTTAGAATATAGTTACACCAATTAAAAAAAAGGAAGGATTCAACGACCAAAAAAATTAAATGTTATGGAACAAAAAAAAAAAGTTAAAAGAACAATATTTCTACTGAGGGTAATTTCGGGATTAAGAAAAATTCTAAGGGATAAGAATGTAATATCTTTGGTCAAAGCAATATGGCTTTTAAGCCAATTTTGAAAAAATTGGATTTTCCAACTTAAACAGATTTTAACTTTTTAAAGCTTTTTTTTTGATTTCCAAACACTTCCACGGGTTAAAAACTGGCTCGTCCAAACAGGCTCTTAGTGAAGAGATGCACGGATTCACACAGCAATTCCAAATGTATGGTTTAGGAAGTTGGAATACTATATTGCACTTTTCGGTATGAAGTTGGAATCCAATAAGCTTTTTAGTCTCAATTCACTTGAGTGCAACGGCAATGTTCAATTTTTAATCAGATTAAATTGAGTTACAATAATAGCTAGTATCTTATTTGGTAACTCAAAGATCCAGTAATTAACTTGTTCTAATCCTAACTTGGTAACCAAAGATACAGTAAGAGTCCGTTTGGACATAAGAAATTTTTTACTTTTTTTCGAAATCAGCATTTGGTAAATTTTTTATTTTTCATTTGAAGATGTATTTTGGAATTTTTCGAAAATTTAAATAACTCCAAAAAGTTATTTTTTCAAAATTCACTCAGATGAATCACAAAACTTCAATAACAACCCAAAATTATATTCATGTCTAAACGCAATTTTAACTTTTAAATACCATTTTCACTTTTTTTTGAAATTTTGCAATTTATGTCCAAACACCCACTAAATAACTTACTTTGGAACTAGTAGCTTTAGTCCAATCATTTATTTATTTTATGAAATCTAATGAATATGTTAAATTATTGATTTATAACTCAATAACTTCAAGAAATAGATCTAAAAACTTATAAACTTCAAATCTTGGATTCGCCTCTAGACTCTATATGTGTTGCTATCCTATGTTGATGACCTAATGATGCTGTACAAATTAATTGTGCGCAAATTATGTACTCTATTAATGTATACTATAATTTAATTCGATATCTTCTTAAACTAATGATGCTGTAAATAACTCGCATTAATCAGTTAAATAAAATTTAATTGTGTGAAAATTATGAACTTTATTAGTGTATTTTACAATTTAATTAGATATCTCTTTAAAAAGTTGTTCAGGTAAACTTTTATTGTCTTTTGTTGATTATTTTGTTGAGAGTTTAAAGAAAACGCAATTTGGGAAATACTTTGATCGTATCATTTTTTGATTACTCTTTTTCAACCCCCGCCCCTTTTATAGGAAGGGCTTCCATTAAAAGAAAACAAAAAAATCTTAATCATCATGGTTTAACAAGTGAATTTCCCTGATCAGGTTTAGGCTATCCAACTTTACTTAATCAGGATCTAATTCTAATTTTTATTCTCTGTAGTTGTTAATTCGGCCGGCTGTAGCAACTAGCATGCATGTTTCCAGGTTGGTTAAGAGAATCAAAAGTAAGACTAATTATTAATAGACAAAAACTCGTAAATGTGATTTGTTTAAAATAATCATCTGCAGCTATTGGAGATTAAGATACTTTTTAATGACCTAACGAGTAATAAAATTCTAATGGAAGATTTTAATCCTTTCAATTATATATGGAATAACATAAGTTCTATTGGGGGAATGATTTTATAAATTATTTTAGTTTTATGTACTGACTTGTTCCTCATTTAATGGAAAGTTAGCAAATGTTTAATATTATTTTAGTGTATATATATAAGAACAAAGAGGAGAAATGTAAAAATTGGAACAATTTCTTATTTTATTTTAATTTAATGCCAACGAGCAGCATTCTTTAATTAGAATTTGGTCTTCTATGTCCAATTATGAACCTGAATGATTTATTGAATTTCGTCAATATTGCGTTTGGGAAGAATAGATTATCGATCATAAAATTACTTAGTGTTACATACTTCACAGACAACTTAAAAAATGTATAAAAACGATTACGACACAGTCTCTCAAAAAGTGTCCAGAAATGAAAGGTGTAGATATGAAGTGACAATATATATATGCAGACTAGTTCATACTCTATATTCAATATTTCATTGAATTAAGCAACTCGAATGATTTAATAAAAGGGGTTGGTGAAAAAAACCATGTTCAGTTTCAAGTACGGATGTGTGATATACAAATACAATATTTGTTGAGTGTGTTGATATATGGACGTGGAACTTAACCAAATAAGAAAAAAGGAGATAAAAATAATTTAAGGGAGACAATGCTGCATATTATTGCATAGACGAAGAATTCAATCCCATTTTGATTGTGCAATGATCACCTACTCAGATTCTATAGAATTCTTTATTATTCCATAGGTGAATATTATATTCAGGAGGTTTAGCCCATCTACTTATCCCATGCTAATGTTGCATTTTTTGAGAGTTCAACTCCTCCTGTCCATAGGAATCAGTAATGCAAGTAGGAATGGCACGGTTGAGGGTGACCTACTTTTGACTAATACCATCCTGAATTTGCTGCTTTTCTCTACATAAATTGCATGTTCACAAAATTATACTTCTTCCATTGGCTATCAATCATATATAATTGAGTGTTTTTTAACATTTAAAATAACAAGAAAGATTTTAAAAATCTGAAAGATAATTAATAGAGTTTCATGAATACAATACAGAAAATTATCTTTTGGTAAAGTTTAGATGTTTTGAACTCACCTGGCACAAGTCAGCTGCTCCAAACTACATACACCAAAATTTTATTTTTTGTATAAAAAAACTCTGCAATTACCAAAAATTCGTAGACAGTATAGATCACGTAGTGGATTGCAGTGATCTTTTTAATAATATTTAGATAAATTTGTTTCATATATCGAACTATTGTTTTCTCTTTCTCATAATTTTATGTATGTAAATAAGAACGGGAAGCTTTAGACATAATATAATAATAGGGCAAAAATTACTCATCAAAATTAAAAAAAAATAGAAAACTTTTGCTATGTAAGGCGGGGCGGGTTTATGCGGGTCGAGGCGGGCGGGTTGAAAACTGAAAATTTTCTTATGCGGGGCGGGTTGAAATCTTCACGGGTTAAGGTTGAACCCGCCCCGCCCCATTGCCATCTCTACAACGTCGTCCCTACACTCCTCCTGGCCCTCCTAAACAGGTCCCATAAGGGTTTGAAGGTGAATCCAAGTGATTACACCATATTTCAACATCAAAAGTTAGTTCTAGTGAAGAACAACACCTCTTTGAGGTTGTGTTGTCATTGAGGATTGGTGTGAGCAGTGTTTGGCAGAAATTTCAAGTGGTTGTTGTTGGTTTAGGTATTTATAATACTCTACTACTTGTGCTTGAAGTTGTTTGTATGTTGGTTGCATTATTTGAGCAAGATACTATAAGAGGATACTTAAAATAGTTTGAGATGCTATTATTCGTAGTAGACTGTTTTGGAAGGATTGTTCCCATGAAATATAAATGGTTGAAAACCTTGGAAAATAATTTTTATGATATTATTATTATAAATACATTATCTACATGTCGAACTTGTTGTTAGTATTGTGAATAAGAAGAGAAAGGACAATATAATAATGGAAAGTTGTACTTGTTGTTGTTGTTGGATTGTTGGGATGTTTGAGTGTGAATTAGGAGATGAATAGGAGGTTAGAAGTCGAATTGTACTTAATATGATACTGGACATATTGTTAAGTTAATGGACGAATGACTTTGGGGTTAAAGGGTTCAAAAGGGATTCAATCCAAGCTTGTCGCTCGTCATGTTAAATAGTAGTTTCGTTGATGATGTTTGTGCACTTTTTTGTTGTGTAGACTGATTTGTGTTGTTGGGCTATTGGGTGTGTTGTGGTGCTGAATGTATATAGTTAAAGGTTGTATGTGTTCTTATTGGCTTATGGACTTGGGAAAGCAATAAAAACAGGGGAGATGCTGCCCGTTTTAATATAAAATAAGCTTGTCGTTCGTTGTATGATAGTTGCATCTTTCGTAGCTTAACGATAACATTGTTATCATTATTGTAGATTAAAGTGAGACGAGAAGAGTTCAACGTGGTTATTTGGCAGATTGTGATAAGGAATGTTAAGGCTAAACCTTTCCTTCATTTTGGCATGATCCCATAACTAAATGCATTTGATAACGAAACATAAAGAGAAGTTTGTACTCCTGAATTCATGTACATTATACTAGTCTCATAAGTTATAGTATTCTCCTTTATAGGGACTTTATATTCAGTTAAGTAAAGTCTTATTTCATTCAAGAAAGCAGAGGGTCTATAAATACAGTAAAATAGTATTTTTACCACCACTGAGCTATAATCGGTGGCCAGGTCCCTATTGGACAACCTCCGATCAGATGGTAAATTATATACCGAGCATACTGTGGCCAAGCACTTATGAGCGAGCCCAGAATGGCAGAGATATCGAGCCTAGTATGGCTGAGCGCTTGTGAGCGAGCTTACTACGGCCGAGAAGTTACACGTACCAAGCCTTATAGGGCCGAACAACTATTTTACTTACTCTATTGAGAGAGTTGAGTCAGTATCAACAGGTAAGCATATCTTCATATCATCTTTAACTCCCAGTCACTTTCAGTTATTATATTATCAGTTCAGTTTCATCTTTAAGTTATTCTATTTTCTTACATACTCGGGACATTATTTCGTACTGACGTCCCATTTGTCGGAGATATTGCATTTCATGCATGCAGGTCCGGATAGATATCCGGATAGATCTTCCCAGTAGATAGAACTAAACCTTAGCTTGATTGGTAAGCTCCACTCCCCCGTAGTTACCGGGTTTAGACTTTGGAGTCCATATTGTATATTTAGGTTTGATGGGTAAGTCAAGGCCCTATCTCGACCATGATACAATTCTGTTATCG